GTGCCAACAATAGACGGTTATTACCAGTTAACTTCCTTGCCCCTATTCCCGGAAATTCTTCCTCTATGTTACTGAAGTGTGGGTGTGGGGTGTTTACACCTGTGTTTCAGTCAACAGAGGAGGAACAATGTGCCAAGTTCTGTGGTTCTAGGAGCTATGCTGTCACTCGACAAAAAGGCACTGCTTTGCTTTTCTTAAGTGTGCAGTGACAACCAGTGTTCAAAATAAGACAAAATACATAAATGACTTCACATCAAAATCAACTGGCTACAGCTCTCCCAGAATCTATACCCCAGAGCCAGGCACCATGGCTCAAGCCTGTAATCCTAGCTCCTTGGGAGGTGGAAATCAGTAGGATTTCAGATTCAAGGCAAAAAAAATTGTGAGACCCTATTTCAACAGAAAAAGCTGTAGATGGTGACACACGTCTGTCATTGTAGTGACAACAGGAAGAGTAAAATAGGAGGATCACAATCCAGGTCAGTCTAGGCAAAAAGCAAGACCCTAACTCCAAAATAAACAGAGCAAAAAGGGCTGGCAGTGTGGCTCAAGCAGTAGAGAGCCTACCCAGTGAGCACAAAGCCAGCCAAAAAGAAAGTGTACACCCAGAAGCCCAGGCCATGCTGCAACAGGACAGACGATAGTGGTATCCCTACACTTAGTGTTTAAATGTGCAGGAATCACCTGCCCTAGAAAGTGGCTTGTCTTTTCTAGAAGCCCTGACTACCCTTCTGTCTCTTTGTAAAGAACCAACACACTAGTTCCCTCTTTCTTGGACTAAAAACCACAAAGGACGAACAATAACTTCTAGCTCCTCCTTTCCACTGTCATTTGTTTTGGGGTAGAGTGCCCCTCAGTAGCACAGGCTGGGATTCCAGGTTCTCGACTCATTCTAACCAGGAATCACATAGTTGGTCAGTATGGGGTCTGAGCGAAGGCTGCCTCTACCTACTAAGAGTACCCTTGATGGTTATCCTGTGTGAACATCTCACTGTGTGGTTATCGGTGGTGAAGTTGTATTCCTGTGATTTTGTATTTATGTCACTGGAGAGCCATCAATGATAAACACATTAAGTGTTTAGTTCCCCCCTTGCGCTGGGGGAACTTAGAGTGGACTTAGGATTTTGAGTTTGGTTTTTGTTCTAGAAGTCAGAAACCTGAAATGCTGCAAAATATTGACTTTGACTTTTTGATAATCTTCAAGTTGGGGACTGCTGATTGTGACTTCTGAACTAGGGATGAACTCCAGGCTTACTTTCCATTCCAGGCTGGGCTCATGGCAACTGTAGTTGTGTCTGACCCATGCGTTCATCTCTGAGAGAAACAAGAATGTTCTCTGCACATGGTTTGGGGGAATTGCTTGGCTCTGGGTGACATGCTTAGTTAGCCCTTTAATTCATCCTTTTCTAACTTCCATGGCAACCCCAGTGGACCATTACTGTTGTGTTTCACCATTTGGCAGTAAGAAGTAAGAAGTAAGGGAACACACTCAAGTTCACAACTCTGGAAAGTGGCACACTCAGTCCTTGAACCCTGTTCTCTTGACTTTACCCGTTGACTTCCCCTCTGTGTGGACCCCAGTGGTGGCATTTATTACTCTGTCCTGTGACTGTCTCTTCCTGCTATCTCCTGCACCTAGTAAAAACATGACTGTCGGGTAGATCCATACAGAAGCAAATAAAACAGAACACAGTAGGAATGAGCAACAGTAACAAGGAGAGCGTCTTCTGCCTGATTTTCGGTTTGTTGTTATCAGTCATTGTATTTGCAGTGAAGTAGCACGAGCTTAGGCTTCCTAGGAAGGTATCTCCTACTCTTCTTCATTTCTTCCAGAAAGTTCTGAGCCTGCTGCTTAGGAGAAATGGAAGCAGAACTTGAGCTCTCTTCCGGTTGACCGGGAAACTCGCCATCCATTTTATTTGGAACACACAAGATAACAGCCGAGTCCAGGCTTCCATTCCCCCTGGAACGACCTCTATGTGCTATCAGTACACATTCAACCACCTCAGGAGTCTGTCCACGCCAGCACAGATGGACAGAGAAGGGCCACCCAAGTGGAGTGGGCCAGGAAAACTCCACTCAGGGTGAACCGACAGGAAGCAGGAAACTCATGTAGAGAACTGAACCCTTCCCACGGCCCTCTGAACTTGGGGCACGTGTGTGGTCTGGAGAACTGGAGGTGGGGACCGGGGGCAGAGCAGGATGGAAAATGAGGGCTTGGGGCTGGAGCTGGGGATGGGTGGGTGGATTTTCACTTGTACACTGACTCACCCTGTCATCCCCGGGCAAGTCTCATAATTGCCTAGCTAATGGGGATTAATGACACCACTTGGATGGGAGCGGAGATGGGAAGACAGGCTGGGAACTCATTACCGAGTGTAAAGGCCTTGGCGCACATGTCTGGGGGTTCATTATTGCATCATCTCCCCTTCCCGCCTCTTTGCACGAATATGAGACAGACAAACGCTAAGTAACCGTGTAATGATACATTACTAGACAGACAACAGTGCCAGTGTATGTAAAAGCCTGCTACCTCTCTGAAAGTCCCCCAAAGATATATTTAAAGTGTCACTGGTGCGTAGTACAACAGGAATTACAGGCTCATTTGGAGGACACCATTGAAAAACGCACACAACACTACCTTGGCATTACCCACCGGGTTTTAGGTTTAGCTGTCTTTTCCTGAGCATTAAAACCAAAAAAGAAAAAAAACAAAAGAAATCCCCCAAGTCATTTCAGCCCCAAGATGCAAACTTCAAAAAGTGGCTTCCTCCACATTTTCCCTTCTGTTTCTGTGGTGAGGAGGGTCCCCAAACCTGGCACTTTCTTGACATGTTGTCTTTCTTCTGAATGTCCGCAGACTTCCCAGGAACCCTAGAATGTAGATTACACCTTTCGGAGATGTAGCCCAGCCACATAAGGAGACAAGTAGTTGAAATTTGTGTCAAATTGCTTGTTTAAGTGACTTGAGCCAACTTCTTAAAGCCAGGACAGCAGGGGCTGAGGATTTTAAAAGTTGGCAAGGGCCAGAGTGACAAGACTCAGCAAGTCACCTGGTGAGCTGCCAGCCCTGACTGGAGGCTTCAAAAAAATAAACTCTCTCAAAGGACACAAATTAAAAGTCATATTTCAGCGTCCATTAACACGAAATTATAGGCTTATATCGTACAGCAAAGTGCTGTCACTTTTCCTTATGTTTAAAATACTTCACTGCGGAGAGTGGCACCTGGTTGCTGTGGAGGGATGTTTGCAAGAGGATAGCTCCACAGGTAGAGTCTTTCTTTGTTTGTTTTATCCTGCAAGAAATAGGGGATTTCATTATTTTAAAAACAGAATGCAATTTGGAGCAAGAGTCATGGTGTGGAGCGATCTCCCCAGACTCTCCCAAGAGACGGAGTCACCAGGGTCCACCTCACGGGAGAGAAGTGGTGTACCCTGGCCATAGGAGTGGGCTCACAGATGTGATTTGCTGACTACCATTTTTTTAATTGTCTGTTCCAATATTGTGTTCTCATATTTATTTCTTTACCTACTTATTTTGAGTTAATTGTCAACATCTCTAAAACCCAGGAAATGTCATCCAAAAGTCCAGGGCAACAACTTTTCTAGAAAAACTAGGTAACGATGTCTGCCTTAAGCCTTTGTCACCCCCACCCGGCCACCCTGGCCCAGAGCCAGGGAGGACTGTCCTCTACCCGCTCCCGGTCAGTCCATTGCATTTTCCTGCCTGGCCCCACAGGGACTTAACTGAGTGATCCCCTGACTTGGAGGGGACCTTACTCTAACTTCCTTGAGAAAGAACTCTGTACGGTGTTTACAGTTGACATGTAACAATGTGACTAGATACAATGTGACAGTCGGCACACGTATACACCGTGCCATGACCACATCAGGCTCATAGCATTATTTTGTTTGTTTGTTTGTTTGTTTGGGGTTTTTTTTGAGGGTTTTTTTTTTTTGGCATTCCTGGGGTTGGAACTTAGTACCTCATGCTTGCTAGGCAAGCAGTCTACCACAGCTCCAGCCCAGACACTGAGGTTTTGAACTCAGGACTTTGTGCTTATACACTTGAGCCTCACCTCTGCTCTTTTTGCTTTATTTTTCAGGGAGGGTCTCGTGTTTTTGCCCAGGCAAGCCTGGCATGCGATTCTCCTACTTCTGCCTCCTGAGTAGCTAGAACAATAGATGTGCACCACCATGCTAAGCTTATTTCTTGACATGGGGTCTCACTAACTTTTTGACTTGGCTGACCTTGGCCAGAGATCAGATTCTCCTGATCTCTACCTCCTGAGTAGCTGAGATTACAGACAGAAGCCACCAAGCCCTACCACATTTACATTTCTTTGTAGGAAAATAGTAAAAATTCCCTCTTGTATCTATTTTGAAATCTACATTACAATGTTGCTAACTATAGTTAACCTCCTATCCAGTACATTCCAAATACTTTTTTTTTGTGGGAATGGGGTTTGAACTCAAGGCTTCATGGTTGCAAAGCAGGCGCTCTAGCCTGTCCTCTAGCCCCTAAACTCCAAATCTCATCCCTCCTATGTAGCCACAATCTCATACCCATTGACTGACCTCTTCCCGGCTCCACCCTGTCCTGCCTCTGGTAACCATTATTCTGTTTCTGCTTCCATGAGACAACCCTAGGTGTGCTGGTTTCCCAGGACATGGCATGGAGGCTTGGTCTGGCAAAGATGCCCTTGAGAGTCACATCGCTGTCACTGCAGTGTTAGTATGTCTCAAAGACTTCCAAGGTCATCCCCTTCACTAACCTCCTTCCTCCTTATTCTTTACTTGATGCATATGGATACGTGCAAATGAAGGTCCAGTATTTGCTTGTGCCAAGCACTGGATACTTCGGGTAGCCTCACGCATCTTGAGTTCGTGGCTTGCCACAGCTGTCATTTGGGGGACTCTGGTTCCAACTCTGTGTCGGGTTGGCAGGGCAAGGCTGGCATCTGCAGGTGCTGATGGCTCTTCTCCCTCCTCTCTTCCAGGTCCTCCAAACCACCACAGCCAGTCCACCCTGCGGCCACCTCTCCCACCCCCGCACAACCACACGCTCACTCATCAGCACTCCTCAGCCAACTCCCTCAACAGGAGCTCGCTGACCAGCCGACGGAGCCAGATCCACGCCCCGGCCCCTGCACCCAACGACCTGGCCACCACGCCTGAGTCCGTCCAGCTTCAGGACAGCTGGGTGCTAAACAGCAGCGTGCCACTGGAGACCCGGTGAGTCCCCGGGCCACTCAGAGTCACCACCTGCCGGGTACCTGAGCCCCGAGCCACCCACACACAGCCACTGGGTGTCTCGGTTGTAGTGGGAGCAACATTCGTGGCAGAGGTAACGGGACAAGTAAACACCTCCTTACTCCCGGGGTAACTGGACCCTGGACGGCCGGGTGTCGGCTATTTCTGTGTTCACGCGTGTCTGCTTTTAATGTTTGTTTACTCTCTTAGACAACTCCTGTGTACCCAACCAACAGAATTAGCATAACATGTTTTTACTCAAAGACTCATGGGTACATTGACTGAAAGCTGCTGATAAATTATACATTTGGCCTTTCTTGAACCAATAAGTGAAGACTCATTTGAGAGGATGTGTTTGGGAGGCCTTGAGAAGCCATCTCTGATTCCAGACTGACAGACGGATGTGTCACTTCATTTATATTTCACGCATGGCACAGACTTCTCTTTAATCCCTCCTGTCCACACTCACGGCGGGGTGACTGTGTGGCCACCGGCAGTGTGTGAAATCACACAAGAGAGAGGGCAGCCCTGTGTGAGGAGAGGAAAGTCAGGAAATGACATCCAGGCCTAGCTTGCTTTGCTTTGTTTCTGTCCCTTTTCCACCATTGCCTTGGTGTTCCAAAACCATGCGCCCTCAGTGACCTGGAAGACCTGAGGGTCACAGCATGGCAGGCTGGGTCCAGTGGGCCACACATGGAAACAGCCTTGCGGCTCCATCCCTGGACACTATCCTGGTCTGTGAGCTCTGATTGCCACTGTTTGCTTTTCCAGAAGGACCCTGGAGACTGCAGAGAGAAAGGTTCATTCATAGCGACCCTTCAAAACATTCTCAAATGCCTTTTAAACGTGAATAATTTAGGTTTAAAGAAAGACAGAAGTAATCTGCATCTTTCTGCTAGTGACCAGGAGATAGTCTGCATGCAGCTAGAAGGAATTTTGAAAGTTGTTTTGGTTTGGTTTTTTGACAGTACTGGGGTTTGATCTCAGGGCTTCGTGCTTGCTGCATGGACTGAGCCACGCCTCTAGCCCTTTCTGCTCTGATTATTTTGGAGATAGAGTCTCAACAGGCCTGGACCATCCCATTTAGCTGAGATGGCAGACATGTTACACCACACCCAGCTATTAGTGGAGACGGGGGTCTCACTAACTTTACCCCAGGTGCCCTCAAAACACAATCCTCCTCATCTTACCTTCCCTGGTAGCTAGGATTATAGGCTGAGCTACACTGCCCAGCTAGAGTTGTTTCTTCTCTATGATTTTTGTTAGCTTTTAAAATAAGGTCACAAGTACGGATACACTGTGTGCCCCGTCACTATAATCAGTCCAAACTTGAGTTTGTTTTATTTTCTGACAATTATAGATGAACCATGTCTACAACCATAATCTTTAAAGCTCAAAAGACGTCAAGTCAATAAAAGTCACATCCCTACATTCTACACAATGGGTAAAATCAGCACTGATGTGGCAATCCTCCATTAAGCAGCTTTGCTGGGAGTAACAAGCTGACCAGGCTGTCCTCTTAGTTGCTGGGAGTCTTAAAAGCTAGAGGACATTTTGTCTTCGTCCTCCCTGGTTCATGAACTGCCCGAGAGCTTCTCGGGCACCACTCAGCCTCTTTTGACACTCCTAGGTGGTTTTTGAAAACTAGCTTCTGTGTAGAAAGGCTCCACAGGATGGATTCGATGAAGAAGGGGAAGAGAACATGTGATTAAGGTTGTAGAAAAGGAAGGAGAGGAGAGAGAAGGACCACTGTCACTGTGAACATCGAGCATTTATTGTGCACCTCATGTATGCAGGCATGAGTACGTACATATACGTGTTATCTCATGCAAGCCTGAAAGTAATCCAGTGAGGTACAAAAGGACAACTGTTCCTGTTATTTTAAAGATGCACAACTTAGGTGTGAAGTGACAGGGTCAACTGAGAGAAGTAGAGGGCCTCAGGGCGGTGATAAACCCCAGTCATTCCCACACAGCACACAAGTTGTGACGTGTATGCCGGGCGAACCACAACCCTACAGCCTTCACCCCAACTGCTATGTTTCCAGGTCAGATCCATCAGGGTGTTTGTTCCTTATGAGGAGTTCCCCTTGGTGACAAGAGCACATGACACACGTGACCACATGTCCCCTCTCCAGCTCCTCACGTAGTCAGTTGCGTTTCCAGGGCATTTATTTTGAACAACCATTTAAAACCATGAACACCTCTTAATAAACATCTTAATAAGCATCTGCTTCCCTGACATAAGTGGATCAGAATCCACTGTGCTCTCTAGGGTCCTGTGGATCGTGGGGTAGCTGGCGTCTCTCCAAGGATCAGGACTCTTTGCGATGTCGCAGGAGAGGCAGGTAGACAGACTTTCCCAAAGCTTGAAGTCTAGCTGAAGGAGAAAACAAGTGAGAACAATGTCTGCATGTTCTTTGACAAGTACTTCCAAGAGCCAGGGGTTAGAGACTGTCAGGCGTTAAGATGGGGTTACTACCAGGAATCAGTCACAAATATTTCAGACTCTGCTCGTGGGTATGGATACGGACAGCTTGACTGAGCCCTGGTCTTTTAAGTGAACTGTAGCAATACCCCATGGTGAAGGTCACAGTTATCTGGGTTGGGTGCGCAGCTCAGTGGGAAGCATTCACCCAGCACCTGCAAAGCTCTGGGTGTGACCCCAGGTACTACAAAAAAATTAACCAAAATACAATCGCGTATGATTTCAACATGGCTAGCAAAGTCTTGCTGGACCAGTGCTAAGTTCATTATAGAAGAAAAAATATCGTCTCTTTTAATTATTATGAACTAGTTCTCTGTTGGCCAATACATGCTGAGTTCCTCAAGTACACCGAGAGCAATGAGAGGTACTGCAAATGTATCAGTAAAACACGTATCTCCCCTCTGGACTCTCACACAGTCTGAAGGAGGTCAGCTCAGAAACCAGCAGAAAGTGCAGTAAATATGATAAGTATGAACGTTCTAGTGATTATGTAATGGAAGAAGGGATTAACTCTCCCAGAAATGTCACAAAAGTTTCGCAGCTGAATTGCTGCTTGATTTGGGTTTTGAGGGATGAGTAGGAGTCCACCTCGTCTAAAAGTAAAGTCAAAGACCACAGCAAATCATTTTGTTCCCATGCCCCATTGCTTTTTCACACAGTCTCAGCAAGTAAGAGTTGACCAAATCCACTCACTCGAATGTTAAAGCAGGGTATCAGTTTCTTACCCACGGAAGAATGTCGTATAGGCATACTTTTGGGGGAGTATGATGGCATAATTAGGTATGGGATTCTTGGGGGGATGCATGATAAGGAGTTCTTTATGGGGACCTGATGCCGTACTAGGATTGCCATTCCTCTTTCACACCAAATAAGACATGGTTGACCCCATCCTGGCGAGAGCCGTTAAAGGCAGGCCGTCTGGAGGTGGATGGGGATGAGGCCAATTCAGAACGCTCAGTGGAAATTTACCAACAGCCTCCCTTCACCGCCCCTTAATCCAGACTTCGGGGCGTGCGGAAGAACCTCCTAACCCTGGAGGTGAGGAGCAGGAATTCTGCCACCACAGAAGATCCCCTTTCTCTTTAGACTGGTGGGTACCGGCCGTGCCTCTCTGCACTGTCCTTGGATGTCGCCGTCAGACTTGAAGAGAGCTGTTGGTTTCTGTTTTGCTGTTGCAGAAGCGGGGCAGTGCTGGGGTTTGAACTCACGGCCTCACGTTAGCCAGGCAGGCGCTCTCCCACTTGAACCATGGTGCCAGTCCCTTTTTGCTTTAGTTATTTTCCAGACAGAGGGTCGTGTTTTTCCCCTGGGCTGCCCTGGACCGTGATCCTCCTGCTTAACGCCTCCCATGTAACTGACACACAGGTGCACACCACCGCACCTGGCTTATTTATTGAGATGAGTCGGCATGGTGCCGTGATCCTCCCTCCACATCTCTGCCTCCCTAGTAGCCGGGATTACAGGCTTGCATCACCACACCTGGTCTAGCTCTTCACTGAACTATGCTCTTCCCATATTTTTACCTTTGTCCTCCAATACATAGAATTCTATGTTAATTAAAGAAACATAGAAACAGGACATAGGAAACAGGACTGTACAAATGTGGACTTTGGTGCGAAAGCCTACAAGGGAAGCTCGGTGGTGGTGTTAATCATATAAAAGAGCGTGCTTATAAATTCTTACAAGACTCACAGTCAGTCTGTCTGTGAGCCATTGCATGCTACGTTACACTGTCTGCCTTGTATTAATCCATGAAAACCCTAACCTAAGGCAGAGGGCCTCACCGCAGGTAGTCTCGACTCTAAACGCCTGCCCACCATCTTGCCCAAACCTGTTCTCAGAAACTCCTGGACAAAGTCCTCGTGCACTCTTGGTGGCTGTCACCTGTCACCCGTCTCCCCTCATCGGCTGAGCATATCACAGTCAGGAACCCTCTCACTCGTTGGGCAGTGTCTGATGTCAGCTTTGGCAGCTCAGTGATGGACCGACAGACTGACGGTCCTCCCTCTGGCCATCTCACTGGAGCAAGCTTGCCCCTGAATCTGTGTGTGAGACAGGTCACCCAGGAGAGCCCATGCAGGACAGCGGTCCCCTCTGAGATGCAAAATACTACAAGGCCTCGTCCTAGGCATCAGAATCTGAAAACTGTAAACAAGCTTGAAGGTTCCCTTTTAAGAAAGTCATCCACCATTAATTCTAGAAATATCAGTGAGAACCCCGACATGTGCCAGCCACTGAGAAGTCCACAGAAACGCAGAAGAAAAGCCAGCCCCGCCTTTCCAGAGATGAGAGGCTGGATTAGACAGAAAGTGAACAAATACACAGATGTGACAGCTGTGGGAAGTGCCAGGTGAGGTGCACAGCGGCCAGACACATGACACTTGGGCTTAAAGATAGTTCTAGGAACAAAAAGGTGACCCCTGGGCAATGACCTGCTCAGGAGCTCAGAAGGAGAGCAAGTCAGAGGATAGGCAAGGACAGGGGCAGGGGGCAGG